AATGTGAAGACACAGTAAATATCATATGAACACCGAAAAAGTGTGAAGCCCGTTCCGCTAACACAAAGCTAGAGATTGAAGAGTCTAGTTCCTAATAAGAAATTTTAATAGACTTTATACACTTCTTTCATTTCCTGGGATGTCCATTTCCCGTTTTTCTTCACATTGTATTGAGATGAGTACCAAGAAAAGTTACTTGATGGCCAATCTTTGTACCACTGGGGTCCATAGTCTGTCTGAAATTATCTTGTTAAGCAAGCTTTAACTCTATCTAATTTTTTTTTACTGCGCCTTGACTTCCCAAAGTTTGTGAATTGATAGACTTTTAGCCTTTTTTCGACTTCCCATATGGACAGGAAAAATGAATATGTGATTGCACATATGAAGAGGTCAACTAGGCAAACCTATGGAAGCTCTGTTTTAATCAAAAGAAATTATTATTTATTTTCTTACCTACACTCGGGACTGATAATTGGTTTAATGGTTGCATTCTGGCAAGACTAGCTGCTCCTCACGAACGGAAATCTAACATAATGTCAGTAAGGTAAAGCTTTCATCTTCCTCTTTCCAATAATTCCTCACGATATTTTTTCGCGGTCAAGGAGGAAAACATGAGAGAAAGGTACCTTGACGATTAACTCTGGATCACAGGGCACCCAAAAGATATGACCGAGCAAGTCTGCGGCACATATATCAGTAATTCTAAATAGCGAGCAGTTGGATACCATGTAATATTTATTGCAAGCAATCCTTCCTACCTAGGATAAGTGTATTTGTACTTGGTTCCATCAGAAGAAGTTCCTCCCACCCATGATTCATTTGCTGCGCTGTACAACCAAAATAGATCCATCATAGGTCGGTTACTGTTTAATGGCAAAAGAGTGAGCTCGTAAGAGTCATTCACCTATAAAGAAAGTAGCTTGTTCTTACTTCATTTGACTTAAAGAGGAGAGACACCTTTCCAAGCTTTCGTTTGAGATAAAATTTTGCCTCGTTACTCTGTAGGTGTTTGAGAAGTTCTGGTTTATATTCTTCCACAAATGCAGCGAAATCAATATCCTTTGTGTGTGGTATAATATCACACTCACGAAACCATCCTGTAATCACGAAATCTTTGCTAGGCGTGAGACTCTTCGTAGAAATACTATTGCGAGAATGAGCCACTAATGGCCAAACAGTAGGCTTATGATGTAGAACAAGAGAAAGTGTATTGCTCAAGGACGTCATCTAATTAGTAAATATGAGCTAATAAGTGGATTGTTTCGTATTACTGTCAATGAACACTTGAGATATTATCGGGAACAGGAGACTCGAGGAAGAATCCCATAAGACATCCGCTCTTTGGACTTTTCCTTCGAGTTGCTGCCGAACATTTGGCCAGTCTTCACTTACCCATTCTAGAGCAGTTGTCTCAGTGTAAGCCCATCGTTTTTTATTCCTATATTTTAAAACCCACCGTTTCCCTGTATTGTAATTCGTGTTCTTCCTAATTATCTATAACCACTTTTTCTTTGATGACAATTCTTTCTATTATGTTTCGTTACGCAGCGCTCACCAAATCTATGTAACTGTCTCCGCTAGTCGCACTGCGACAGAATTAAGGAAGATAATTTTGCGTTTAATCACAAAACCAAGTTTCCTAATGAAAGAAGACGAAGAAGAAGGATCGAGCAAAATGAATTCACATCATTATAAGAATGGAAGTGTGCTTACACTTTAAAGTTTGAGAATCACGTAAACTTACCCAAAAGTGTGCCAAAATTGAGGAATGGGTAGATATCAAATGAGACCAAATGGCGCATCAACAATGACATCGATTGTATTGTCTTATCCTTCGGAAGATATGGGTTGCTTGCGTTCCGTTCGATCGTCATATTAATGCAGCTGATGAACTTGGATCGTTTCCAGTACTCAGAAAAGCGCAAGGTATCAACTGGCAACGACAAGTTTTTATGTACGAGTAGGGACATCCTGCAATAGTTTGTTTGGCGTGTGCCTTATAGTGATATGATAGAAGATTTTGATAAAGAGGTACTACACAATACCACTCATAACCTGCAAAAAAATGTGATTTCACATGAAAAACCGTCGGCGTCGCATCGTCATAACTTCTTGCGAAATAAATATGTAAAAGAAAGAGCGAGTTATAGCGAGCCAAAGAGCCAGCTCGTAAGTGGATTCTTCTACATTATGCTACTAACACGTACGAAAGGTCGTTAATACGTTAAGAGGTTACCAGCGGAGTCCGTCTAAAACTTTGCCTAGAGAGATTATTTCCATTTATCACAATCACGCCTTATCTTGAAGATGCTATACGAGCGGAAGTCAATATCGCGGGTTCGTCCAAACCACTATCCGCTGGGTTGTTAGCCAAGCTTATGAGGAATATTCATTATGTGGTGCTTTTTTGTAGATAGCTTGTAAAATCACCCTTTAACAATGCTATTTGTCATAAGCAACCTTAAACCGCTTTACGTCTAACTTTGACCGCGCGACGCTTTTCTTGTCAGAGGCACTTCTTTGCAAATTTTGAGCTAAACAACATAGCAGCGTTTCATAAAAGTTTTCCTATGAATGTTTTGCACTTACCGTTACCCTTCAAAGCCCTACCAAATGAAGTTGATATGATATTCATCTGATATTCATCCTAGGTAACCCCAACAGGCAAAACTCTAACGAGTTGTGAAGTTCTGAAATTTTAGATTAAGAATTATCGCAATACTGCTGCACTGAGCATAATTGTGGAACGCCATTGATCAATACTACTCGATATTTTTGTTGATCATGTGAAGCTATACAGTTTGCACGGCACAGCCCCATTGGATACGGTAGGTGTGCTGTAGGAAGGTCAATCACGGATTTACCTGTTCGACATAGTAATCACGAATTACATATCCATTTTGCACGAGGATCTCTGCTGTTATCTTTAACTTTTAGAAGAACAACAATCCGATTATAAGCTAGTAATTTTAATTAAGAAAAGTAGATGTAGACTGGACGTTACTTGGAACATATTTATGAGTCGCCTTATATTACGGGTTATCTTTTTATGATTGAAATAACTTTTCGTCGGAAGGCAAATCGCATCCATCAATCACGTGTTCATTTTTTTTGTAAGTAATACGTGAAACGGTTTACTATAGTTTTAATGGGTTTCATATCCTAGCACTTCAAAAGTGCTAGGTTATGTAACGGTGTTACACCACATCATTTGATGATCTAAACACTTGATGGCATTATGTTCACTAAAGTTTTCCTTCTTAAATGGCCATGGTCTAGAGAGACGATCATCTTGGATAATGCTAACAAAATGCCCTTCTTGAGGTCTATCTGATGTACGTACAACTACGTTGTAGATAAATGTGCAGTGGCTGAAGTTTTTGTGCTACCAGAGCAATGTGAAATTGAGGCCTCAAATTGTGAAAGTGCGCATTTCTAAGCGCGCCAAACAGTGCTAAATGTGGTTGAGACTATGAATAAGCAAGATTCATTGTTCTCATGTTACGCTTCTCGGAACTCAGACAAAAAAGAGCTAAAAAACAGAAAGATTGCGAACAATCCAAGATTTACATCCAGCGTATGAAGCCAAAAGTTG